TGCTATATCTATATACACGCAGGCTTTATTTCGACGACTGTTTTTCATTTCGTTTTGACGATTAAACTTTTAAAGAGACAGTGACTTCGTTCGTTTGTTTGTTGGATTTTTTTTTACAAAAGAGAACTTTGGGTAAAGGAGAATTCGCTGACTCGTACTTTTTATATGCAATATTTGCTCGTCGGCTGTATTACTAACGGATATGTAGGTATTATTGTCAGACAGATGGGTTTGGGAGAGGATCGAGCTTTGGATACAGAGACCGAGGATAATAATACATTCTTTCCTAGGTCTGCACATATTTACTCAAATTTCAAACATTTTTTTATTTTTATTTTTATCAGCAATTATGCGAGTGAGTATCAAACTTGAATTTGTTTTTACAAAATTACTGAAGTAAAGGATGACAGCGAAGCCGTAGAATAAATTTAAATAAAGCACACACAGTACACGCACACACACGGTTTGCAAGAAGTATCAAAGCACACAGAGTATGTAAATTTTCTTAACTATAATAGAAGAGTATCAACTAATTAACAGAATATATATCAGCATGGTTGGGAATAGGATCACTTATCTACGATAAAATTTACTCACAGAATTTTGTAATTAGTTTTTACACAATTTACACAAGTGAGCTATACCTTATTATTGCGATGTATATAAAAAATGAAAGAGCAGATCTGTCAGGGATAGTAATAAATCTAAATAGCACAAACACTATGGGATCAAAAGTAGCTCCGTTTAATATAGGGTTAGATGCAACAGGTTCTCTGGTCACACAGTATTCATGCACAATTTTGAAACATATGATACATATAAACAGTTTCGTCGAGTACAGTCAGTTTTTCTTTTATTATTCATATCATAACGTTCAGTTTCGTAAAAAAGCAGTAGTTATCTTTATCTCTTTAGCAGCTCGTAAGCTTCCAAGCGCACACACGCACACACACTCGTCCATATAGCTTATACAAAATATAAACATTGGATATAATCAACAAGTTTCATGCACGTGACGTAGTACCTCGAGCGCTTTACTTCCTATTAACAACGCACTCCGCGAGGCAATCTTCCGCTGCGAGGTAATCGAGCTTCGATGAGATTTTCTTGTTCATAGCCGTAGACTCATTTCACAACGTCGCCGCTGTGTATACGCGCACTGCACTGCATAATAATCTTCCGGTTAAACATTACATAAATCTACCCTACGGAGGTTATTGCTATTTAGAAGAGTATCGGGCAAACAAAAGACTGCCGTATTATAATAATACAAAAGCTGCACCCGCGGTATATACGAGTGATAAATGTATACACACAGCCGCGTGTTCGGAGCGTTGAGATGGATCACTGCGACTGACGCTCTGTGTGCCTCTATACTATAATACAAGAGTAATATTGCGTGTTTGTGTGCGCGCACTTGCGCTCGTTGTCCGCGCGATGCCCTGTACTGCGCGCTTGGCCGGTAAAAGCGAGAGCGAGAGCGAGAAAGATGTTGTTCCCCTTTTCGCACCAGCGGCTATTCTTCGCTCCTATATATACACAGCGTGTATATATAATTGGAGCAAGGACGCCTCCGCCGTCGAGGTGCGCATGATTGCGCGTACCGAGAGAGACAGACGGAGAGAGAAAAAGAGAAAAATTCAACTTCACGGAGGGATGATTTTATAAACGCGTTATACGTCTGCGATCATTTCATTTCATGTTTCAATCATCACACCGAGCGCGGGTATTTATATTTGTTGTGTGTTTTTTTCTTCGCTTGAATGTGTGCCACGCCTACGCCCGTTTTATTATTACTTAGAGTCTCTTCGAAACAATGACGATTCATCGGCGAACGCACAATCATTATACGTATTTCCCAATGACGAAACTTGTACGATCGTACCTATACACGCGCACAATGATCATTTTAGCAGCAAGCCCCATTGTCCAAATTTTTTTACCTGAAATGTGTATGATGGATGGATCGCGAAGACTTTTTTAATTTTTTCTGCTATTCCAATGCATTGTGTCATTTAAAAACAATAATGATTCAAGGTAAACGCGCCGAGTCAACTTTGTCGATTAGTTTTAATTGAAAACTTCCCCGTTACCTCCTCGTATGGACACGTTGATTATGCAGTAAGAAGAGTGTCAACGAGCAATTCACTTATAAACTGTCTGCGTGCGACAATAGATGCGCGTCGTATATGCGCACGTATGCGCATGTAATTAGGTACAAAGAAGCTGCTCGGGAAGAAGAATACAACTCGAGAGAAAGATTAGGTCGACGCGACACACAAAGTGATTGTTTCCCTAATACTCTGAATAGTTATTTTTAATTTTCTACATTTGAATGCTAAAACGTCAATTTAATTGAATTGGTTCATTCGAATTTAATAACATTATCGTTAACTGTACTTAAAAACTCGCACTTAGACAATAATTAACAACTTCGGTTCAGTACTTCTTTTTCAACCTGCTTTTTGACTTCTACTAGAATTTTGGCTTTACCACTTGCAGATTTACAGAAAAAAAGTACTCGCCATCTAGTGACGAAAGCTCAAAGTGCATAGTATCATTGTATTTAAAGAGGTGGAAAATTGGTCTAAATTTGTTGAAACAGTTAAACCCTTCGAGCAGGTACTGACGTCGAGATATTTCGATTTTTCAAAAAATTTTTATATTTATAACGAATTTTCTGAACAAAATGAATTGACGTGAAATGCCACAGATCTTGCTCAGATTGGGCTGAAATTTTTACAGAATACTCTTGAAAGTATAAACAATCAAATAAAACAATAAAAAAAACATCAAATTTTTTCGAGGTCAGCACCATACCCCCCCCCCCCCCCCCNCCCCCCCCCCCCTCCTCCTTAATGTTCTGAGGTAATTTAAAGTGATGTAACAGAAAAATATATCCAAAAAAGGCAATTATTGTTGATGTATTTTAAAATATTTTGGATAGTTATTTTTTAGTCATCCGTGACATAAGCTCTTGACAAGCTCTTGATTGTCGCGAAATTTTTTCCAAACAAAATAATGACGTGAGCGGCAAACCAAAAAGTGTTCTTGTGCAAGTCTTTAACTTTAAAAGTTTTTTTTCGTTTAATATATGTGTCAAATGTCTCGACTATCGACGAGCTTTGTATCCATAATATTCCAAGAGCTCTTCATCGGAAACAGAGCAAAAAAATCTACGAAAATCGGTATCGAGTAACTTCTAATCGATATTTGCCTTCATATTAATAAGCTTTGAGCCATCGTAAAAAGGAGACACCTCTTTTTGGCCGTCCCTGTCGAGTTATCAGCAATCCCGCGCGAGTAATTAAAACTTTTTCGCTCCTCTCTTATATATCTTTACTCGGCCAAACAGAAAGAGGACCAAAGTTTCTCTGTCCGGGTGCATCGTAGTGCTGCAGTTTTTCTATATACATGTATGTGTATGTGTGTGCGGCACGTTTTGATAATAACAGTTTTGTTCCCCAAAAAGAGAGACGTATATCCCTCCGGAGCAGCGCGCCACGGAGTAGTAGTTTCTCCAGTGTGAATGACCCGGAAGCGCATTTCTCTGGGTACATAAAGAGAGAGATAGAGACAGAGCACGTATAGATGCCGAGGCAGAATCGATGAAACGGAGCGAGCTATTTCGGTCTCGAGCACATCGCTAGTCTCTCTCCTGCCTCTCGCTGTCGCGCTCACCTACACACAGACCCATATACACACACAGAGAGAGGGTATCGTGCAAACACAAACCCTTTATGCTCGCATATATATAATACACGTCGGCTCGAACAAACGAGCGGCAGGTATAATAAACGTGTATAGATATATAATATCGACCTGTTGTCTCCTACAGTCTATACATTGTTGTTGCCGTGTATACGGAGTCTGGACCGTTGACAAAGTGTGGTGGTGGTGGTGGTGGTGGCAGTGGTGGTGGTCTGCAACATCGATAAGATTTGACGAGTTCAACGCCACGTGTATTATATACAGAGAGCAGAGAAAGGACCAGTGCATATCTTCATTATGCCGCGTAAATTCGCTCAAACGATGGAGCTTGGTAACAATAATAATAGTGATAGAATTACCAAGCTCTCGAGCTTGCAGCAGCTTGACATCGTTGGTGATCGGCGTGCGCGCGACACGAGAGAGAGAATTAGATATTCTACCATACGATGCACGGCTAATTGTTATTGATTTATTTCGCGTCACTTACAGAGCGTAAGATTACGTACATTTTGTTAAGAGCGGATTGAGATGAACGAAGACTCTAGATTATTTAGACAGAGCTTTTATACGCGAGCTAAGAGGCGGGAAAATCAATTAAGCACAACTTAGATTTTAATGGTTTCTCTGCGAGTCTCAGTATGATGGTTTTTTTGTTCTCGAGAGAAACTATATGACACACGCACAGCACACACTTTTCGATCATTGAAACTCAACATACGCAAGACAAAAAACTCTTATGCACAAACAAAAAACTTCTTGAAAAGATGATACGCACAAAAAGCATCGCAAACCTTGGATTTTCGAATGATCACCGTTGCAAAATCAGTCACTGTCACGATGTTGCAGGAATAATAATAGATACACAAGACATAATCGTTATACACATGCTCGCACACAAAAATCATATATAATCACACAGTTACAATATTTACAATGAAAAATATTCGACAAGGATTACAATCGCAATTATTCGTCTTCAGTCGTTGACAATTTTCGTCAATATAATAATAATAATAATAATAATAATAATAATAGTATAAAATAAAAAATATACAAAACGATTATATGAGAGTAACTACAGTAACTATTTCAATGTGGTAATTAGCTACACAAAGTGAGAGGTTGAGAGACGGCTTTATTAGGGGTTTCATACTGTTGGCCATTGTTAAAACGTATATAATATAATTACTCATCATTACTATATAATATAATTATGCACAGCAAGGAGAGAGAGATATATGTATCAAAGTAGGAGGTGTTTTTAAGCATATAGTTCTGATAAAACTCACATATTTCATCAATATCCCGGATATTTGCCACGATTAACATGTTGAGAGTCCCGACAATAACGAGAGAGATAGAGAAGCCTAATAGTTAACGAATTCTCATTTTGCGCCTCGGCTCGGTTTATTGGAATTCGTTGTATTGGTTTAACTTCCATATCTGAAACGACGGACGTTTACTACATATTGAATCATCTTTCTTTTTTGCTTCATCTTTTTCAAATATTTTTCTCTTCTTTTATTTTTCCTTTTCATTTAGAGAGCCAAGCTATTGTGTAATGGACACGCGCCGTGTTGCATTTTTAATTTTTCAACGTAAGGATTTTTGCAAAACAATTTTTATTTTCCTTTTTTTTGTTTCTTTTTTGTCTTATTGCTTGTGTTGTTGCAAGGAGTCATGAAATATCATGGCAGTTATTTTGTATGTATCGTTCGATCGATAAATAAATGATTGGAAAAAAGAAAAGAAAAATGAGAATGACAAAAATTTAATCGGTCTATGGAATATTTTCGAGTATATAACAATCTACATTTCCATCGAAGGGTCTCTATGATACTTTTACAACAACAAAAAAAAGAAAAAAAAAAGAAAAATTCATCGAATGAGTTTGAAAGATGAGCCGCTAGACAAAAGTATTCGAGCTTCGCGAACGAAATAAAATAAAAAAAAGGTAAAGTAAAATCCAGGTCATCGGAATTATTTTTCCGAGAATCTGATATCCGAGAGTGCGAAACATTTCGCGCTGTGCAGCTATGTACGAGAGCGCGCGTATACGTGCATGTTAAATACGCAGCTGCAAATATTACGAAGTGGAAAATAGGGTTCGGCCGGTTCGAAATAGCAAATGAAAATATCAACCAATAAAACACGTTTATTATTCGCGATGATTTGGATTGGTTTTCTCAAAAAGCGAAAATAAACTCTCGTCTATCGGCTTATCCCGCAAGCTTTGAAATTTAATGAGCAACGACGTATAATGATACTGAATTTTTCAACGTCTCACCATGATTCCAACTGTCTCAATCTATTTTCTTCGTACGCTCTTCTTTTTCTATTATTTTCTTTCTTTCCTTTTTCACGTTCTTTTCTTCCGAGTAGTATATATCAAAAATTAAACTCAACACAACTCAGATCGTCACAGCGAAGCACATTCGTCATTTTCTTTCGTCGATCCTCGACATTTTTGTCTCACATATATCTCTAGATAGTTGCGCGAATCAACAGACGAAAAAAATGAGAAAACCGGTGAAAATAAAAAAAAAGAAGCCGTTTCGGGTGGCGCACAACACAACACACGCACTTCTCTCTCTCTCTCTCTCGCTCTCTGTTCGGCTCCGTTATCTGCTGCAACAATAGCACGTGCGACTGCACAGGTCGGCTCTCGGTATATATCTCCTCTTCACTCGGAGCAGCGGCAGTAGCATATCATTCGCGATGTTACAAAACGGCGCGCGGGTGCACAATCGGCGCAGCAGCAGCAGCAGTCGAGTACACGGCACACGCACACACAGAGAGAAAAGTCAAGCTTATAGCACAGAGACAGAGTAGAGTAGAGAGAGAGAGACGAGTAGCCAAGCTGATGCGCGCGCGCTCGCTCGACTTCCCCCGCGCGCGCGTTCGTATTGTGTATAGAAAGAGAGAGATAGAAAGAGAGAAAAGCTGCACAACCTCGTGCTGCTAAAGCCAAGATTTGCTATTCTTCTCTCTCTCTTTTTCTCTTCTTGTTTTAACGCAGTAGTTGTAGTAGTAGTAGCAGTATATACACAACGAGAGCTTCCCCCCTACTATTATGGTTTCGCGCGAGGCTGTTGGTCTATACGGCTTGTTGCGCGCTTCTATATAATAATAGCGAAAAACCGCGCGTTGCAACGCGCAGCAGCGGATATTAATTCATCGACGTTCGCGCGAATCGACTCGATACGCGTAGGTCATTAAAATTATACACTTCCACATATACTATAATCCAGCACCTGAACGTTCGTTCATTATGAGGCGCGAGAGATTAAGTTTGAATCGATTTTAATTCAACGTCGCGCGACACCTACGACTATACGATGAAAGAACGCGCGAAAACGAACAAAGCACAGTGTGTCGTCGACGCACTCAACACTCACTCGCGAGAGATCTTTCTTCTTTTTTTTCTCCAACGCTTTTGTCGCACGAGAAAATTCGTCGCCGTATTAACCGAGTTATAAATTCTTTCGCTCTTCTCTTTTTTCTTTCCTATGCACTTCGGCAAAACTTTGTAATCGAGAGTAGTAGCGGTAGCGACAGCATCGCCGTTGTCGATGGCGCGACGAGCTTTGTATACATACAGAGAGAGAGCGAGCGCAAGAGCCTATATCACGCGTTATATATATCACGCGGCAGCAGTGGCGCTTTTCTCTCTCTCTCTCTATCTCTGTCTACTACCACCACTACGTATGGACTTATGGTACACCGTCGACTACTGCCACCCCTACCTGCCTGCCTGCCTACATCTATATAGAGACAAAACGTACTTTTAGGTTTTGCGCATGTACACATCTCTGCGTCGTCGTCGTAGCCGCCGACCACCCTCTACTCTCGCGATCTCCTTGGATACCGCGGCAGCAGCAGCAGCAGCGCACCCCCTGACGCGCTCTCTCTCTATACATGCAGCAGGCGGCCTATGTACCTATACGCTTTCTAAATGCTCTCTCTCTCTTTCTCTATGTTGTAGGGCCTAGTGCACACAGCCTTTATATATCGTGCGCGTGTATCGCTTTGGGGGTCAACCGTGTGCGCCGCGCGCTGATCTTCTCCGGCCATTCAATCCTCTTCGGCGCTCGGTTTTACTATATGCGCGTAATATGTATATCGTACGTACGATCTCTCTCTCTGTCTCTCACTCGATGCCTGCCTGTGTTCTGAATGGGGATACGCGTATATATTTTGCCTCCTGTACATGTACTGTACGGCTTCAGGACGCAGCAGCCGAACTCGTTATAATTTTCATGGATTTAGATCGTATACTTGCGTTTACTATTAAAATGTAAATCCTTTGCCGCGCGATGAAAAGGGGGAGATTTTTTACGTTTGTTACTACTACGCAGAGGCTTTACGATCGGAGAGTAATAAATTAAAGAACGAGTCCAGGCTCATGAGTTAGCGATGAACTTTGAGAGAAGAAAAAAAATGTAATAATTTTAAGAGATAAAAATTTCGAATCGATCCGGCTCGAAATTCAATCACTCTATAGCATGGTGCGCGCAATATTTCTGGCTGCCAAGAATTATATGATGATAGAGGAGGCCAGACAGTAGCCTATAACCGTATCATACGCGAGGGCCGACAACGAAATTATTTTCAGTTCCATCCCGCGTGTGGGGCTGCAGCGGAGCCAGGTAGACCCGAAAACGCGATTAAATATCAATGCCGCGGCCAACCCTTTTCCTCGATATCATAGGCAGGAGGGAGATTTAAACGAGATGTCAGTTGCAGTAAACTCTGACCTGTACAACGGCTACGCGAAAAAGGAAGCAAAAAAAAAGTACGGAGCATCGCGGACTTTCATCTCTATTTCGCATTGACAATAAGCTTTGAACGCGCCATTTGTACGTGAAATCCTCTTTCTACAAGATTTTTGTTTGATCGCGAGAGTATAATATTATATATCTGTATACCGATGCACGACGTCGAGTTTTAAATTTCACCGTACGGTAAAAGCAAAAGGGTGCTAAACCGTCTCGTATACATCGCTTGCTATATCTGTCCCTCATATGCGGCTGGGAATTTTTTTCTTCCTCCTCTTTTTTTTTCTTTTTTTTTAATCGACTTTGTCTGCTTACCTCACGGAGAAACTAGTGTAACTTAATTACAGCTTGTATAATTAACGCGGGCAAAAAAAAGGAAAGAGAATTGACGGAACGCGTACAGTCGTCGATGTCGAGTCTACGAGTCACGTGCCGGTCGGAGAGAGGAGGGCCTGTTGCGTTTCCTCTCTATGCTTGTATATACAGGTATACGCATAACGCTTTAACGCGCGTCACATTCGATCGATGAAGTTCGGAACGATAATTTCTTATATCCCTCGCATCTCGAGTCGTTTTTAATTGCATCTCGACTCAGACGGGTGAGACCTTTTCTTTTAGCTGCTCTCCGTAAATCAATATAAGACGTGGGAGAGATTACGCGGGATTATGATCGTTCCACGCGAGCGTGAAATATCGAAAACGATGATGATTAAAAATTAACTCGGCCGGCTAAGTGCGTTTGTATCTCGCGCGGCTGCGAGGCCAGACAAAAAAGTTTCGAGCTCGATCGATCAAATGTGGTGTAATATTTACAGCTTAATACTCTCTAGAGTGCCCTAAAACGCTCGAGCGCTTCTATATAATATGTATAATGGCCCTTATGAGTGGCCGTATTAGACGCAAGGCGGTGCGCGTTTCGCCGGTTTCGTATATTTTTACGACGCTACTTAGCGCTAAATTCAGTCGCGCAGCTTGCTCTCGACTCGTTGCTTTTCCAAAACTACATGTTCATCCATGCGCTATTTTATTGCACGATTTCTTGTTATTCTACATGAAACAACAACGCATATATACGTATAATCTTAAAACTCGGAAGTTTTTCTAACATTGCCAATGATTTTTCGAGGCAAATAGCGCACGTACCACAAATAACGATCTGGAGGCTTTTTTTCTGCTGCTGCGCACAATATCACTCGTGACAACCTTCAAAATTAAACTGCGATTGGAATTTTTCACTTTTCCGGAGTTGTTTTTGTTATCAACTCGATCGTCATACACATGTTATCTCGTGCACAATAATCGCGTTGTTATTGTATGCATACACACGACGCGCAAAAATCGTGTGCTTGCGCGCAGTACAGTCTCGTGCTCGCTTATATGTACACAACAACGATAGATGTTTACCAACTTCGCTTGGAATATATAACACGTTATACAGCATGTGCCGCCATATGGTTTAACGAAGCTTAACCAAATTCTCAATTGATCAAAGGCACACTTGTTCGCGCGCGCGCACAGGTTACAGGCTCAATTTTACTCGTTACAACGTTATTCGAGTGTATGCATAAAAAACGCTCTGCGACGTGAGGCCTAAACACTTTTTGCGATTATGTATAAAAAAAAAAAAAAAAAAAAAAAAAGAAGAAGAAGAGGAAGAGCGTAAAAGGAGTACATGCCGCGTCGTTGCCGCTGCTATCACATACACACACTTTGTCAAAGGAAAAACAAGACGGTAGATTATGTAGAGGCGTTTGCGCCCGTGCTCTCTCGGCGCACGTGCTTTTGTTTGTTTATATACTGCCAAAGCGCACGAGGCGTGCAAAATAAAGAGAATCGAGCGCTGCGCGCGAGCGCGCCAACTTCGAGGGAGGGTCGTGCAAAGCTCTCGCAAATATAAGCTTGCTAGATATTATTTTGCGAAATAAAAAAGTTAGGTTCGCGACGTGCGTTTATCACGGCGTTGGATTGGCCAGAGAAAGCTTCCATAAGAAAAAGAGAGTAAGGAAACACTCGAGGGCAAGTTGGTAAATAAAAATCGCGAAAATTTGCATGCCATAAGCTTGCGAAGCGTAAGTAATTATCATTCCATTCGAGTGGCGCTATTGTGTCCTGCAGCACTCGAGTCCAGAAGACCGGTCGAGCGCGCGCCTTCGTTTCAATTCGTTGTATAGCGTATAACGCGTAATTACTTTGATTTAGATGTAATAACTTTTCGGAAGGAAAAGCGAGGGAGGAAATGAGGTTGTATCCAAGTTTTATCAAAAGTATATCAATTTAAAATTCTGACAATAATAATAATAATAATAATAATAATAATAATAATAGTCGTAAGCGAGTGTGCGTTGGTGTTTTTCTCTCTCTTCTGCTGTATAACGCAATATAAGCGCGCAACCCTCGCACCGAGAGTACACACACACACACCGAAGCAAGCGGATATCAAACAAAGCTCTCGTTCTCCATCTCTTATCCCTTCTCGCTTCTCAGACTGTGTAGTGTGTATGTACGTACGTAATGTGTGTTGGCGTGTGCGTGTGCGCGATAAAAAATTGACGAGCACGAAGGAAGCGAGCATATTATATACGAGGGAAGGTTATACACGGACGTGAACATTAGGGAGAGGATACGCACTCCATATAACCTTGCACTCTTAATTTTTATCCGAACGCGTGTGCGTGCGTGTGTTGGTGTGTATACGCGGCAGTACTCGTGCACCCTCAAATGAATATCACCCCTCTTTTCTTCTCAATCACATTCTCTACCGTGCAATGCACACGCACGCACACGCACGTTTACTAACTCACTCGTACACTCGCATATAAATATATATATATATATATACGTGTGTTGAACTTA